ATCACTCCAAAAAAAGGTAAAAAAAAAAAAAAAAAAAAAAAAAAAAAAAAAAAAAAAAAAGTGGGTAGAACAACAAACCAATTCACTCCAAAAAAAAAAAGGTAAAAAAAAAAAAAAAAAAAAAAAAAAAAAGTGGGATAGAACAACAACCAATTCACTCCAAAAAAAGTAAAAAAGGTAAAAAAAAAAAAAAAAAAAAAAAAAAAAGTGGGATAGAACAACAACAATTCACTCCAAAAAAGGTAAAAAAAAAAAAAAAAAAAAAAAAAAAAAAAAAAAAAAAAAGTGGGATAGAACAACAAAACCAATTCACTCAAAAAAGATAAAAAAGGTAAAAAAAAAAAAAAAAAAAAAAAAAAAAAGTGGGATAGAAACAACCCAATTCACTCCAAAAAAGATAAAAAAAGGTAAAAAAAAAAAAAAAAAAAAAAAAAAAAAAAGTGGGATAGAAACAACAAACCAATTCAATCCAAAAAAGATAAAGGTAAAAAAAAAAAAAAAAAAAAAAAAAAAAAAAAAGTGGGATAGAACAACAAACCCATTCACTCCAAAAAGATAAAAAGGTAAAAAAAAAAAAAAAAAAAAAAAAAAGTGGGATAGAAACACAAACCAATTCACTCCAAAAAAAATAAAAAAAAAAAAAAAAAAAAAAAAAAAAAAGTGGGATAGAACAACAAACCAATTCACTCCAAAAAAGATAAAAAAAGGTTAAAAAAAAAAAAAAAAAAAAAAGTGGGATAGAACAACAAACAATTCACTCCAAAAAGATAAAAAGGTAAAAAAAAAAAAAAAAAAAAAAAAAAAAAAGTGGGATAGAACAACAAACAATTCACTCCAAAAAAGATAAAAAAGGTAAAAAAAAAAAAAAAAAAAAAAAAAAAAAGTGGGATAGAACAACAAACCAATTCACTCCAAAAAAGATAAAAAGGTAAAAAAAAAAAAAAAAAAAAAAAAAAAAAAAAAAGTGGGATAGAACAACAAACCAATTCACTCCAAAAAAGATAAAAAAAGGTAAAAAAAAAAAAAAAAAAAAAAAAAAAAAAAAAAAAAGTGGGATAGAAACAACAACCAATTCACAAAAAAATATAAAAAAGGTAAAAAAAAAAAAAAAAAAAAAAAAAAAAAAAAGTCGGATAGAACAACAAACCAATTTACTCAAAAAGGAAAAAAAAGGGAAAACAAAAGTGGGATAGAACAACAAACCAATTTAACCCCCCCCCCAAAAAAAGGAAAAAAAGTGGGATAGAACAAACCAATTTACTCCCAAAAAAGGTATAAAAAAAGAGTGTGATAGAACAACTAACCAATTCACTTCAAAAAAAAAAAAAAAAAAAAAAAGGTAAAAAAAAAAAAAAAAAAAAAAAAAAAAAAAAAAAAAAAAAAAGTGGGATAGAACAAACCAATTTACTCCCAAAAAGGTTAAAAAAAAAAAAAAAGGGTGATAGCCCCCTCCTTACTTTTCCTCCGCCGCGCTCGCCTTCTCCCTCGCGTCGTGGGCCACGTGCTCCTCTTCGTAATAGACCTTCTTCGTTCTGTCGAGGTCTTGCACTTGGGTCTGGAGTTCGTTCTGTATGACTTTCAGCTGTTCCGAAAGCTGTGGGAGGGGGGGGGGGGGGGTGAGAGAGGAGAGTGTCAGTGCTTTCAGATTTGTAGGTTGTTTAGCTTATGTTTATTTTTATGTTTATAATTTATTTATGTTTATAATTGTAGTTGTTTATTTATGTATTTATTTATTTTCTTTCGTTTTTATGCGTTATTTCATTTTTTGTTTAGGATTTTGGGGTGAATTTGAGATTTTTTATTAGTTCCCCCTTCGGTACAGATCTGTGAGTGCGGTTAAAGATTTTGATTATTATTACTAATATTTATTAAAGATTTATGAATGAAAAACATTTTCCTTTTTAATCTGAGAAATGAACACGTTTTTTTTCTTTTTTTATAAGTAAGTTAGTTCTTCCTTGGAAATTTGATTTGCTGTTGGTGTTAATTACATTTTCCATCCTCCAGAGATATGACTTAGTTTGGGTTTTCCAAAAAAAAATATATATATACAATTGAATATTTGGAAAATAATTATGATGGTATGATTTTCAGTTTATAAGAAAAAACAGAAGGATATGTAAGGAAAAGATAAAAAACACAAATGGCCTGTTCAAATTATATCAAGGTCTAGAATAAACAAATAAATCTACTTTTTTTATCCATTAAAGTTATGTAACATATTGACAACATTCTTTCATATTTATTCTTCTCTATTTAATAGTTAATTCTACACACACACGCGCACACACACACACACACACAACACACACACCACACACACACACACACACACACACACACACAACACACACACACACACACACACACACACACACACACACACACACACACACACACACACACAGCACACACACACACACACACACACACACCAAACACACACACACACACACAACACACACACACACACACACATACCCACACACACACATACACATATTTTTTTTTCTTTTTTTTCTTTCTTTCTATTCTTATTTTTATTTCTTTTCTTTTCTTTTTTTTCTATCCGACACAAACCTTTTTCCCTAAATGGATTTTATTCGACCGCGTTTGTTTTGCATCTTCTGCAATATTCTGTTGAAACACCTCGACTGCAGCCAATCTCGCCTTCCCCAGTTTCTCCGTTTCGTCCAACACGGTTCGCCACACACACTTACACATTCCTGAAAAATAGGGGAGAAAACATTAAATTATGAATATTTCACACCATTTTTAAGAAACAAACGAGGGAAAATACATTAAATTATGAATATTTTAACACATTCCTGAAAAAAAAAACGGGGAAAAACATTAAATTATGAATATTTTAACACACATTTTCAAGAAAAAAAACGAGGGAAAATACATTAAATTATGAATATTTTAACACATTTTCAAGGAAAAAAGAGTGAAAAAACATTAAATTATGAATATTTTAACATTCCTGAAAAAAACGGGGAAAAAACATTAAATTATTATGAAATCTCTCAACACATTTTTTAAGAACAAACGAGGGAAAGAACATTGAATTAAGAATAATTCAACACATTTCTGATAAAAACGAGGGGAAAATACATTAAATTATGAATATTTTAACACATTCCTGATAAAAACGAGGGAAAATACATTCCTGAAAAAACGAAGGGAAAAGGCATTAAATTATGAATATTTTAACACATTCCTGAAAAAAGACGGGGAAAAACATTAAATTATGAATATTTTAACACATTCCTGAAAAACGAGTGAAATACATAATTAATTAATATTTAACACATTTCCAAGAAAAAACAATGAAAAAGCATTAAAATAAGAAAATTTTCAAGACATTCCTGATAAAAACGAGGGAAAATACATTAAATTATGAATATTTTAACACATTTCCAAGAAAAAAAGAGTGAAAAAACATTAAATTATGAATATTTTTACACATTCCAAGAAAAAATGAGTGAAAAACATTAAATTATATGAATATTTTAACACATTTACAAGGAAAAAGAGGGAAAAAAAACATTAAATTAAGAATAATTTAACACATTCCTGAAAAAACGAGGGAAAAAACATTAAATTATGAATATTTAACACATTTACAAGGAAAAAAAGAGGGAAAAAACATTAAATTATAAATAATTCAACACATTCCTGAAAAAAACGAAAGGGGGAAAAAAACATTAAGAATAATTCAACACCATTAAAAAAAAACGGAGAAAAAAAACACATTAAATTATGAATATTTGAACACATTTCCAAGAGAAAAAAAAAATGATGGTTTGATTAAGAATAAAAATTTCAACACATTTTTTTAAGAACAAACGAGGGTAAGAACATTAAATTATGAATAATTTGACATATTCCCAAGAAAAAAGAGAGGGAAATGTCGTTAAATTATGAATCTTTGAACACCTTCCAAAAAAATATAAAGAAAAACGTAGGAACGGACATTAAATTATGACTCTTTTAACATATTTCAAAGAAAAATATGAAAAAAAAACGAGGGCAAAATACATTCAAAACTGGGAATCTTTCAACATAATCCAGAGAAAAATATAAAAATATTTAAAAAACGTGGAAAAATGCATCACATTTTGAATATTTCAACACATTCCAAAGAAAAATACGAAAACACGAGAAAAACTACATTAAATCTTTGAACACATTTCAAAGAAAAATATGAAAAAAACGAGAGAATATACATCAAATTGGGAACCTTTCAACACATTTCAAAGAAAAGAATAGAAAAATGAAAAACGAAGAGAGAGAGAGAGAGAGAGAGAGAGAGAAAAATGCCATAAAATTATGAATCTTTATACAGATTACTGAAAAAGCGACAGTAATCTAAATATTTCAAACTTTGTAACTTACTAAGACCTACAGCTGATGAAAAGTTGAAAACGTTTTAATATACAAAACAAAAACATATTTTGGGCTTTAGACATGCGTGAAATAATATTCCCTAAAAATATTCATTTCTGCATTTTAAATTAGGGTGATCTTTCACTTCGGCCGTCTACTAATTATTTTTATGGCCCACGAGAAAGCATGTGGATATCATAAAATTGTTCAAAATTATATAATAATGGTAATAATCACCATGATCTAGTTTCATATAATAATATTAATTAATTAATAATAATAATTGATTGGGTCTAAGGTATCTTTAAGAAGAATTTTCTAAGTTGGGTGTGTGCAATCAAACAAGAAGGGTCATGGAGAAAGTAGGTAAAGAATATACTGACCATCTGTATAGTAGGGGGAACTAAATAAAAGAAGGAAAAAAAACATATTTGTTGTGTAGGCCCCTGTTTTATATTATTTATTAATTCTTTGCATGACTAAGATTTTGCGCTCTCCTCCCTCTCATCTCCATCTTATTCTCTCCAGTCTCTGGCGGAGCACCTCCAGCACGCGATCTTCTCTCGTCTCCTCGTCGCTCTCTCGTCGTCTATCTCTCCTCCTCATCG